TTATTGTGACATGAGACTGGTTTGCAAATTCGCTCTCTGCTGCCTCCTCACTTGCTTACTAGAGTGTTATTTTGCATCAAACGGATTGGAGTAGCAATGCAAAAGAAAATGCGGTGGACGACACTAATGACCACTCATCCTCACCTCCAAAACAGCCTTCCATCTCATGTCTTCCCTCCTCCTCCCTCGTTCCCCTTCCCCTAGTTAGGCACGAGAAGTAGATCCGCATGATGTGGAAGAAAGATATGCACTGCGGGTGATGCTCGAGAGGCTATGGAACCCACTTTTTTCTCTTGTTCCCCTTCTCAACAGTACTTTGGGCTAAGCTGAGCAGATTCATTGCTGGCAGCGCATTCGGACTGATTTTCCGCCTCCAGTCTGAACGTGCATCTCACCCTTTGCTATCCAACATTACGTCATTGCATTCAGATATCGCAATACCTTCAACGTTGGCTGATCTTTGCCTTGCGTGTGCATTTGTCAGTAAAATGACACAAGTAAATGCAACGCAAAAACGTGCTGCCTTTCTACCTCTGCTTTGCCATTCATATAGCGTGTCCCTCGTTTTCGCCTCTTGTTGTTGTGGTGTTAAGTTGATGAGTTTGTGCAGAATGTTGGCGAGCGGTGTGCAGTTCGTCAAGTCTTGCTTCACACATGCGAAGCATGAATGTTTTGTGAGAAAGTGGTTGGAGGTTGAATGATGCCAAAGGGCATCACCAAACACCAAACGGCGTGATGACTGTAGCACTTTCGATTCTCATCTACGGTGTCTATTTGTGCTTGGCGTTGGTTGAATTATGCTGCTGGAGAATGACTGGCACAGGACTGAGGGAATGCAGTGATTATGTGTTGGAGGGACGCGAGGTGTTGAAGTCGCAAGCTGCACTTATTGAGTTGTCATGGGTGTGTGGTTCGCTATTGAAAGGCGTCAAATGGGGCTCGCATTTGTAGTATACAATGCACTGGGAGTCTGAGTGGGACAATTGCGGTGATGTGTGGAATAAGTTTGGCCGTTGGAAGGCGGAGCTGCACTCCTAACTGTGAATCATCGTCGAGTTGCGCTGGCATTCCATTCCATTCCATTCTCCATCGTCCTCTTCC